CGTTTTCCCTTACTTTTCAGCCAAAAGTACCTGTTTGAAAACAAACTAAAAGGACTACATATTAGCTCGGTATTGAATTCGATTTTGTTGTCTTTTAATCTTCTGCGAAATTATTTATTATTGATTGTTTTTATTTTAATGGCGGTTGTAAATTTATTTTATTTTATTGTTTGAAAGAGATGAGTGTGCCAGCCTGAAGACAGGCCACCCAGGGACTAATGCCTCAAAAGCCTCGACCAGATGTTTCACGTAACGTCGTTTTGCTATTTTCAGTCTTTGATCTAGTATGCGTAACTCAATTCTATAACTGAAAAGTGAAAAAAAAATTATGTTGCTGTAAAAATGAAAAAAAAAAAAATTAATAAATACTTATCAGACTAAACTTATTTAATAAATACTTATCAGACTATCTATCAGAAAACGAAAGTAAAATGTTAAGCAAGCAAATTTGCATTTAAACAGAGCATAGTGTTGTCATATACTAAAACAGAAAAATTTAGAACCGCAGCGAATTTTTTGGGCGTTTTAACGTTTCTCTTCGAATGGTGTCCCGCGGATATGCTGCTGCCAATGGCGAGGTTGGCATTCTGACGAAGCAGTATATATATATATTAAAGAAATAACAGGTAACTTTAAAAAAATCATAAAAATTCAAACTTTTAAATACAGAAGTGAAATAAGTATATTATAAGTCGTAGTTTTTAGATGTGTTGACATGCTTGGGATAAGCAAAAAAAAAAAAAAAAAAAGATGTACATTAATTTGAATTGGAAATCTGATAATGAGAAAATTGTGTCTCTGATTTTAACACAGCAGCAAAAAGAAGATAGAAAAGTTGTTATCAAGATTTGTTGACTACTGCGAGACAGAACAACAGTTTTTTAAAATGTATCATAGAGACATGAGACCTGGTGTCTATAATACGAGCCAGAAACAAAACGAAAATGTGCACAGCTGAAAAAAACCGTAAACTGAAAAACAGTAAATGGATATTTACACTCTACTATAAATTTAACTTGAAATATTGAGCGTAAGTTTGAGTGGTCACCATGAGGTGGGCTTACAAATAGCTAAGTTTTTTCATCAGATGAGCAAACAGCGGTAAGTAGTTTCACGCTTGAATACTTTAGTGAATTTCAGTTATGTATAGCAGAATTACTAGTTGAATTAAGCGTGAATTTGAAAAGCATAATCTAAAATAGCAAAGTCTATAGCCTGTTTTACCAACCAGCAAAGTTCATTTCACTTTGTTAGTGAAAATAATCATTTCCATTTATACAATTTTTCTGAGCACAGTTTTTTAATAATATGTGCTGTGACTGGCCTGATTTGTTGTCTTTCATATTACAGTTCGTATGAATTTAAGAAACTCTCGGTATCATTTATTAAAATCTATGTTTGTCTTTAACCCTTTCGCTGTCCTGTCCTGTCTGCGAAAATTTCCCCCCAGCGGCCGTCTGTTTTTCGTAGCGTGTAATGGTGTTTTTCTCTGTACATCATAACTTTCCATACATGACTTTCGTAGTGGATGAATGTCAATGAATATTAAGTAAAATTATAAGGAAATAAAGCATAATGGAAAAATCATAATATCTCTGCTTATTTCTAACAGCAGGATAATTGATAACATCTGATCCAGGCGGTCCACTTGAACGCGCTTGAGAACGCTTGAGGCGCGTTACGGCCGCCCTGCGGAAGTTTCACTTGAACGAGCTAGACGCGTTACGGACGACGAAGAGGTTAAAAGTCGCAGCTGATGTTGGAGAAATATTCTATCGCTGCCTTGCCTATTCCTGTTTTATCCATGATGGACTTTGAAGATTTAAATTTATTTAGGAGTTCTTTTGCTTTAGTTAGATGGGTCTTTAGCCAAACGAAAAAAATCATTTTCTTGAAGGTGATACTTGGTGGATTTCCAAGTCGAATTTAGTTTTGAGTTTTTTTCTGTTTTTGATCCTGACTAAGAGGGGAAATCTTCCGTATTTATGTTAAATTTTTTAATTCTTTTTTTTTCTTTTATCTTAAGGTTTATTTTGTTTTGAATTTTTACAGTTTTTGGATAATTGCCACATTCTTTATAAGATGAAACGTGTCTCTCATTGCATAAAGCTTAGCGTGCAGACAATCCTTCCTTCTTCTGCTTGCTCAGGTAACTTTCGGGAGGGACTAAACACTTAAGGCAGCGTTCCTTATAATGGCATAAGTCTCTGGTATCTCGTACCGTTGACACTTGTGACATTGCACCCGGCAAGGTCTCTTTTTGTTTGGTTTCAGAAAAATACCTAGCCCTTTTAAGGTTTCTAAGAGTTAAATTCGATACTTTCTGTATTTCGTTTACCTTCTGCTAAAAAGAGGGGTAAAAGAATCATTGTCCGTCTTTGAAACTTGTAATTTAGAGCATTTTGAAGACAAGAATTCCTTGTTCTTCAGGTTCTTTTCGAATTATTTTTGTTTTTGTCTACCGCGGGAGTTTTTTTGATAACCGCTTTTATCGGTTTTTCAGAATTTACTAAGTAAATATGGAAAGGCAGGACCTCCGTTTGAAACTTTTTCTCATCTTTATGTAGTCATCTATGAAGTAAGCTTGTATGTTTAATGTGTCCCCTTTCAGATTTCCTTTGAGACCTTTGACCTTTGTTTGATCTTGTTTTAACCTTTGTTTGACAGTTTGTTTTACACCTAATTTCTTAATTCTGCCTTTTAGGCTTTTCCAATCAGCTCTGAAATCAGCGAGAATGATTTGGGAGATGTGTCCTGCCGTTTTCTTCGGCTATTTGAACTTGGCTTCAGTGTTGCTAGCCTTCATCCTGTCCACAGAGTCTAAGACCGCGAATTTACTTTTCTGAACAGATTCTTCTGCTTGAGAATCTGAGTGTGTGCGTTTGTGCACTTTCTTCGGTGCGGCAAAGCCTTCTGACTTCTTTTCTTTGATTTGGTACCAGACCTTCCTAGTTAGCTTTTGATCTGAATATGGGAATAAAGTATTGGTAAGTTTTGAAAATGACATGTTGATTAGGATTAAATTTTTGTTTAGATTATCAATTTTCTCAGTTGTTTAAACATCCTGTTTCCCTGATTTCTTTAACCTTTCTGTCTCTAGTAAGTGTTATTTTTGCTTTTCGATAAGTTCATCTGGCAGTAATCTGCAAAGTTCAAGATCAACAAAATGTCGAATTATCGCTGTGTCTGGCTTAACAACAAAATCTTGGAAAGGTTCTAAAATAACTTTTTTATTTAAACACAAATTCTGAAGATAAATGCACTTCTTGTGCAATAGGATCGACCGCCACTTGTGGCAATGTAATTAAAATAACAGTCAAATTTAAATTAAAACGTAGGCTAGTAGTCAAAGACTACGCAATTGAGTTGAAATTTAAGTTGGCTCAGAAAAAACACTAACCGGCGTATCAGTTTAAATGGCGGCAGGAAGTAAAGCGAAGCCAAATAATTGCGAACTTCTTAGAGATGGCAGAACTAAAGATATGTGACGTCGAGAGACAGAAACACTCTCTGTCTTACAGCCCAAAACCCTCAGCTTAAATACTGTATAAATGATTTGCATTCTGGTGAGGAAACGAAAGAAGTCATAGTAAAAACTGAAATTATAAATAACTAGTTAACTTAAATAATGACCTTATAAATTTTAACTGCAATGAATAAAATAAGAACAAAGAGAATGTTATGAGAAATTTATGTACCATACTCATAAAAACAAGATAAAGTTTTGATATCTGCTTCTGTAGCCAAAACTGTTGCTATCCAGATTTAAATTTAAAGCCAGCTTTTCTTTTATTTATCAAAACCTTGAATTATTATTTCAAGTCTGGAGATACTTCTGAAAATGCAGAGAAAAATTAGTCCAAAGGCCAGTCGGATACATATTTAAGAAAGATATCTTGAAATTGTTTCTTGAAGTCAAATTTCAGAGCTCCCAAACATTGGCAATATTCAAATGCATTTTTCTCATTTCTTTTCTACAGTTGAAAAATTTTGAAAATGGCTAAATTCTTTCCATTCCAAATTTTTTTATCGTAATTGAAGATTTGAACGATTTTCCTCTGGCAAATAATAATTCTTGGCAAATTTGTTGATCCCTCATGAAACGTCCGACCGAGAAGTAAGGCTTCATACCCTGGTAAAGCTCACTCAACATGTGCACAGTAAAATACGAGTAAGATGCTTTTAAAAAGTATTTAACTGATTATTCTTTCGGCGGTGCCGTACGAAAAAACTCGTTTGGTGACTTAAGTAGCACAGGGCGTAATACTTCCTTTATGGTTAACGGGATCATTTCTTTTCAAAATTATGTGGTTTCTCTGATCTTGCAATAAGTAAAGCAATATTATAAGATGCACGCAATCTATCATCATCTTGTCTGGTTACTACTTAAAGATGTTTAAAGATCAGACAAACTTTTCTTTGATTCCTTGAAAATAATACAAACCTTTATCCTTTTTATCAGCATTACATTTGACGTATATTCTTGGAGTCATAACTTCATTTGAGAAATCTCAGTTAATACTCAAATCACTCCAGTTCATAATTTAATGCAAGTGACTGCAACATTAAATATCATATATGAACGATGTGCTACTGAAAAGGCAGTATTCGAATACAGACGAAGCAGAAAAAAGACGAAGCAGAAAAGCTTTCGACAACTGCGGAAACAGGAATCACGAAGTCAGAAGGACACCAGATAACTCCAGCGTCCATTGGGGAGGGGGTTACCACTTAATTTGAGAATCACTGATCTAAACGATATTTTGATTAATCTTCCGTTAGAACTATGAGATAATGACACTGCCGAAATATTTATTTGGTGACAGTTATGAAAATAGTAACAAGTAGAAAGTATATTAGCTTTTTTTCATCTCAGATGGCATCAGCATTTGCATAATCCCCAAATGACATTAGCATTTGCTAAATTCGGCAACTTATTCCCAAGTGAAGATTAACCAATAATGTTTTGTTTTTTAAATCCAACCATATGTTTTACCTAGGTGTCAAGCCAGGAAGACATAGTCTTGGATGAAGAGGCCCCACTTCTTGTTTTCCGGGTAATTGGATGCACAGTTGTCACCTTGTTAGTCGGCTTCACTATTATTATTTATGTCAGTTCTGGGTAAATATGTTATTTTTAGTCATTCTTCGTAACGATAAAAAATATGTTTTAACATTTATAAAAGTTATCTACAAAAATTCAATAAACACATTTCTATTTCAGTTTCGGAATGTTAAGCCTCAGTAGTCTTAAATGTAAATTAATATTGCTCTGCAAAAGATTTTCCTAAGATTATGAGACATAAATTCAATTCAAGTGAGAAATTTCTTCGTAAAACAGAATAGTTTAAGTTCTTTTTTATGAAAAAAATGTAAATAATTAATTTTAAACTTAATTTCTTCTGTAATTTTCCACCCATTTTAATATGCTTACAAATCTCCTTAATACAGCGATACCTTGGTATATGCCATTAATCTGTTCCAGATCCTTGGACAAACTGGAAGTGTACAAAACTAACGTTTCCAATAAGGAATAAAGAGAAAATAATTGATCCGTTCTTACAAAAAAAAAATAGTAATGTTGTTATTATAACACTGTTTAATCTTAAAACGCAAATGTAGTAGTGAAATATATATTATACGTAAATGAACTACTGTACATTCTGTTATACAGATAAAAAGTAATTTCTCAACATGCTGTAATGTGTCTTATTTGTAATCGATTTCACACTCTTTGCGAAGTTACCCGAATTAAGAGCGTCTTTGTTTTTTGCAATCATAAGTAACGTTGTTCTTGGCAAACGGTATGCAATACCAAGTACCGGATACGTAGTATATTTTATACTTTTCAAAAATCTCTTTCTTTACCATGCAAATCCTAACCATTTTCTTCGTTACTTGACTCTTCTCATTAATTTTCATATTACTCATTATTAACGAATTTACAAAACATTTACTCGAAAAAACAAAGCAAAATCACGAAATTTAAGAGTTATAGCGCAAGTTGTTTACTAAACAGTAACAACAGGAGTACTAACTGACGGGCAGTCATAGTACTGTCTCGAATGAAGTAAAAAGAAAGTGTAGTGCGCGGAATCGTGATTCACAGAACTCAAATCGTATTCCAAACAAATACCGTATATCAAACAGAAATTTTCTCATCCAAGTAAAGGACATATCAAGTGACTTACTTCAAAGCGAAACATATACCAAGGTACCACAGTATACTGAACATGGAAATCTGCATTTGAATTAGAGCAAATTTTAATTACATGAAAGAGGTCTTTGTAAGAAATGATAAGAGCCTATTAATAGAAAGGCACTTAAATATGTAAATATGGTAATTATTTGGAAAAGGGCAAGATACTGTTTTTTTTTAATTTAATCTGTCCGTTATTGATTAACAAACTAAGAAATTCAAAGCAATAAGCGTAGCTTTTCAGTTCTATACTCATTAATAATAACTAGCTGAACCCATGCAGTTACAGTAATTGGACTCGGTAAAATTAGTATGTACGCATTTTATTTTGATGATAACTAGTTTAGACGGCTGGTCGTGCATGCATTATTTTCAATAAATTAATGCTCTCTCTAATTTTAAGACGAATTCATTAAATCTTAAACAAAGTAAGAAGAGAATCTATTATCCAAAATTTGCATTTGCAAAACATAAATCAATAGAATATTCTTTCACTAACACCACTAAGCGTTTTCAAGACGGGGTTTTATTTGGGATTGAATTCCCATTAATAATTTCTTGCTTTGCCATTTAGGGAAGTCAAGGATTGGAATATACAGTATTCCTCTTCAAATTATTCTTTCTGAAATCGTAATTTTTCCTTGTTTTGTTCCTTCTCAAGTTTTGGAGGAGGAAACAGATAGTTTTTTCTGAATTTTGAGAAAAAAGTAATTAGTTTAGTGATTTACTAATCTTTATTTCTGTATTTATTTCTCTGTTTACCTTCTAAAATTGGTCCTGTGTGAAAATGCTACCTTTATGTAGAATACATTGTTTTGCAATTTGTTTTAATATATAACTTGTATGCCTTTATTTAGAATGTTCCATTTGGATTGCTTGGCTCAGATTTGCTCAGAGTCCTGTATTCTTGCAGCATACATGTTCCTTCTAATGACTACCACTGAAACATCTCGAATAGATACGGTAAGTTTCGTTTCTTTAGCGTTTGTTTAGAGAAGGGGCTCCCAAAGCGGTCAGCATGGACTCCTTAGGAGTCAATGAAATTTGAAATGGGATCTTTGAGGATCAAGCGTTCAACTGAAAGGTTGACAACTGAATATTTACTGGCAATTGACTTGCATTATCTATATCCCATTAATAACAAAATGCATTAATAAAATCAATAATTGTTTATTGATATAAAGCTTTATCACATATAAACCAAATCTTATTCAAAATACATGTGTACGCTAAGTTTTGGAATTTAAAAGTCATCCAAGAGAAATATCCTGAATTAAAGCTATTACCGGACCAAAATAACTGACTTTTTCTTATTCTAATGCAGTGAAAGCAAGCTTTAGACAAGTCAATAACATGCTGCTGAAAACAAGGAACAGGTTGAATGTTTCTAAAGGAAGTGACTTAACATAAAGTTATGCAGCATTATGCCAAATATTATTAAACAAAATGCGTTAATACATCTAGCGCAGCTTCACATTCATTAAAATTGAAATTTCACCCATTTAGAATCTGTGATTTTGTGTCTGTTAACTTGGTTATGTTCGTAAAATTAAAAATAATAAGAATACAAAAGTAATACAAAAGGCCTATTTTACATTAACTAGTTATTTATAATTTCAGCTTACACTATAACTTCTTTCCGTTTCCTCCCAAGAAATGTAAATCAGTTAGAAAAGTATTTAAGCTGAGGTTTGGGGACTATAAGACAGAGCGTGCTTCTGCCTCTCGAGGCCACGTTACTAGGTTTCTCCAGTTCTGATAAGATCGTAATTCTTCGGGTTTGCGTTATTGCTACCGACATTTAATTGTTACGTTCCTGAGAAGTTCTGAGCCAACTTAGAATTAAAATCAATTATGTAGTCTTTGACTATTAAGCTTGACTATAAGTCTTGACTCTGACTATTATTTTAGCCTTCTTGTGTTTCTGTAGTTAACTTCAGACCAAGGGATAATTCTATCCAAGTCTGTTAGGAGTTTGGAACTAATTTATACTACGAAAGCACGTCAACCTGTATGAACCTAATAACCAAAACTTTTGTTTTTCCAAAACTCTTGTTCAAATTCTTAGTCTAATTGTTATCTTAAGTTAAGTATACTCAATTATTTGTATTGTGATTATCCTGCATGCTTTACATCAGAAATGGCCGCAGCGTAGCTCTTGCAGCCGAGTGGTGTAACTCTTATACAAATAAAATATATGTATAAGTTAATTAATTTTTTCTTACAAAGTTAGGCTGATTACTTTATAGGGTCTCAGTAACCATTTTTATAACACGCAAGTTTTGTTTTTAAAATATTCCCCAAACTTAAGAACTTTTAAAAGTAGCAGACTCCCATAAAAAATTCTGTAAGTTTTCTTTCTTCTTTTTGGTATCATAAAGAGTAGAATACAGGACACCAAATTCTTTCATTGTAATGCTTCTATTCTTTTTCTTCATAGTCGATTAATAATATCCAGCTTCTGGTAAACTTTTTAAGACCACATATTTCCGTTTATTCTATTTGTAAAAGTTTTATTAAGCTTTTAAAAAGTTTTGATAAGTTGTATCAAGTGAAAACATTTGAAATAAAGGAAGTTGAGAAATTTTTATTGTTCAGCACTACTATAGATGTCAATTCCTAGAATCGTAAAGAAAGTCAGAATGACATTGTAACTAGTAAGTAGAGTAAGGTAATCTCAGGATGAAGCTTTAAAATAACTTTTTTGGTTGTTGATTTCCCAGCTTAACGATTATACATATGATTCTATCGTAATGTAAAAGCAGCTATTTGTGGGAAAACATTGAACAAATGATATGATCAAATTAAAATATTAAATACAAATTAACATGTGCCTAAATAAGTTTTGGCTCAAGGCCTTCGTATTTTCACGATGCAATAACGGCTTTGTAGCAGGAAGTTGTCGCATAGTAACCGGGTAACGAATAGCTGCTACGGTTTTCTCCCGAATTTTGAGCATGGAACTGGAACTTTTTCAGGCCTATAACCCCCTACAAGTTTTTCCTTGAATCTCCTGAGATATTAGTAGCTCTCTCGAGCTCAAAAGCTTGGCACTTATATGTATTAACTAACTGGCATCCTGGTGCGAATTTAGCAGAAATGAAAGTATATGCAAGACAAAGAGATATATAATATAAAATTCTGTAGTTTTCAACAAAGGACTAATTGAAAATGACAGAAAGACGCGAAGTAATTGCCGAACGTTATAGAATGTTGCCAAGTTTTAGAAATGCCATTTTACGATTTAAACGCCCCGCTGGATTATGGTGGTCGCGGACACTTAACCGAAGAGATACTTAACCTACACCGGTTAGCCGACAGGACATATAGCCGACACTCGCACTTAGCTGACACTTAGTCGACAGGACATTTAGCCAACAGGGACACTTAAGCGACAGGTCACTTAGCCGACAGGACATTTAGCTGACAAGAACAGTTAACCTACAAGACATTTAGCCAACAAGGACACTTAGCCGACAGGACATGTAGCCGATACTGACAGTTAGTCGACAGGACATTAAGTCGACAATAAATCTCGCTCTTCCCAATTCTTTCAGATTTCTAATACTTTCACATTTCATTACTACAGATGCAGAGGTGACCAAAATAAGGACAGTTATCGTGACATTACATGACTTGTTTATTTTTATCTCAAGAATAATGGTATGAACTGCCTATTATAGAGGTCACAAATAATTTAAAGCTTTGCTTGTCTTAAAAATTCTCTTTTTTAATTGTTTTGTAGGATTTCTCTTATTTTGCATAAAAAATTATTTTAAGTTTGATACCTTTCCTAAACTTCTCAACTTTCGCTCGCTTTTCCTCGCCAGGATGTAAATTTAAAGTTAATTGAGTATTTAAACCGTTGAATCTCTGAGTTTATTCAGGGCGTGTTTTCGCTTGTCAGCTCACGTTTCATTGCCATCTCGCCGTCATGCTAGTACGCCCCTTGGTCATTTCAGATTATCGTCACTCCTGGTAGGTTATTGTTGAGACTTTGTAAATGTCTTGTCGGCTAACTGTCCATATCGGCTAAATCTCCTGTCCGCTAACTGGTGTCCGTTAAGTGACTCGCCGGCTGAATGTCACGGACCCAGATTATGGGATGTGTGGAAATAATGAATGCCAGAATATAAGACTGTTACTTAATTGCTACTCTTTATGAACTCTTCTTATTGAAAGGTCTGAGATCGAAAAATTTATCGTTTTTAATTTAATGGGAACAATCCACGCCATTACTAAGTTCTAGTATATACAATGATTAAAATAGTTGTAAAATAACAATCTACAATACTTGAGATTAAATGCTAGTACTTGCATCACTTATTTTCTTCAGATTTTTTCAAATTTTACTTTTTTTTTCTTCTTAGGGTATGTGCTTGGCCACAGCTATTTTCCTCCATTTTTTGTTCATCAGTGCCTTCCTGTTTTCTTTACTGGAAGTAGTCTGTATGTGCCAAGCTCTGATTTCTTTCTTCCATAAAATGGCACCCCTCACTGTCAGCAATGTTTTGATCATTGGATGGGGTAAGTTCTACTTATGATTTGTTGTATTAAAATGCTGCGTAAGAGTGTTATTTAATCAAGTGCGCAAATACAGTCAGTTCTTGAAACTTATAAAAATGTAAGCCTTTCCAAATTTTTTGATAGACTTTTATGTCAAAAAAATTTAAAAAACTCAGATACATGGCTTTTTTTTTTTTTTTTTCCAAAGAAGCTTAACTGAAGTAAGCTGAAAGTAGTAAAAAAATTTCCATATTATTCAATTTATGCTCAAATAAAACAGGTATATTTTAATAAAGAGATGTAAAATTTTCTAGTCAGTATTGTTTAATCTGCATTCAGTTCTCCCCCCATTCTTCTTGGTGTATTTTCATATTTTACAGTTGTTCCTGGCATCATCGCTGGAGTGTCGGCCATTATATGGTATAAAGAATATACTACGAAGTCCAAGTAATTCTTGAAATCATTTTATTTTCTCCACTGTATATAATATATCATCTGCATTGTATCAAAGTCATGAATATATCTTTGTTCCTGATTTTGCTCTTTATATTTATTAAATTTGCATTTTATAATTTGTTTTTCTATATTTTACATCAAGCCAAGACAAAGCAATGTATAGCCTCTGAAATATATGAACATGATTTAATTTGTAAAATTCATGATTAAATCCAAATGCGGATGGAACCTTAAAATTCATTTTAAAAAGAATATGGTTTCGAGATTTTAGATTTTGGTGTGAGAATTCATGCGGACTCATTAGTAACTAAGTATGATTGATGTTTAAGATCCGGGTTCATGCTACAGGTGTTATATATAGGGCTATCTGCAACACCTCGTAATGCTAGAAAGTTTTGTGAATCTAAATTAAAAACCAGTTCTAAGAAGCCATTCTAATATGATATGGCAACTAATCTGAATTTTCCAAAATTCTGAGAAACAGACTTTCTTCACAGCGGAAAGCGGTAAAACACGGTAATAGTAATAATGTTAATTCTCATGTGTCATAATTATAATTCTCATGCTCCCACTTATTGAAAATTACGGTCTTATCTCTAGTCGGATGCTCTAACTTTAGATTCTTAAAATTGTAGAGTACCTCACTTTGGAATTCTAAGTTAATGTTGGAAGTGAGGAATCTAAGAACTGATAAGCGAATAATCGCTTGCGTTCGGTGACAAGAAACAACAAGATAGAAGGGTAACTAACCCTTTATTATTCCAATAAGATTTAACAAAACTCTGCCTGGGAGGTACAAGCAAAGTCGCACTTGGCTTGAACTTAAAAGACAAGAATTAAACTAAAATAGATTAATAAACAAATTAGCCGAAGCTATCAGGTTCAATTTGAGTTGGCCCCTTAACTTATTTTACTACGAACTTAGAAGGGCCTGAGTACGGCGAGCGTAAATAACAGCTTTGAGAGAGAGAGTGGTCAAAAAGGCAGACGCGCGTAAATCAGAAACTCTGATTCTCTCTGCCTCAGTAACTTCGTGGTTTAAATACCGCTCCTCCTCATTAAATATTCAGCAAATTCCAAAACTACGTTCTGGCCGGAACTAGTAAGTTGAAGTTAAGAATTTGACAGGAAAGGAACTTTAACTTAAAATTTAACTGTTAATAAAATTAGCATTCTTACAAAATTTATTGCATTTTCTCAGAAAAATTACTAGCGATGATAAACTTAAACAATTATGAAATAAGCAAAACCAGTAATGAGTTGTATCCGTTTCTATGACTGAAAAACAGATGAAAGGCATGAGACTGTATAATTTTTCTTTCTGATTTTTTACTCATATAATTGCTATATTATGGTAATATTTTACCATAATGGTAATATTTTTAATTGTAGAAGAACACCGCAAAAAGTGTATTATAAACACAGCCTCAAATACAGACTGGAATTAATCTAATATTTTTTCTACTTATAATTCTCTGATCGTGGAAGTAATGAAACTGAATCTGAGTGGAAAATACTATGTTTTGCTTGGGTTGCTCGGCCTGAACTATCTGATATTATAACTTAATTTGCATTCAAAACCAATCACTACTGTCCAAACACAATTCCTTTTTGTTCAGTTGGTGTTTTTCTACTTACTTTTTGACACTCTGCAAGAAATTCATTAAAATGTAGAATTAAATGTATTGTAATTAATTAGCCATTAAAATGTCATGAATATATTTCTCTGCCTTTGAAAAACAATTTTAATTGATATAAAATTTTAATGATATATTTTTAATTGAAATAAATTAAAAATTAATTTAGAATACATAAATTAAAAAATAATTATGATAAAATAAACAATACAATAAAATTAATAAATTTTTTGTATTAAGTCTTTTTGCTTTATTGATTATTCTTTCAAATTTCCTTGCTCTAAAATTGCCTCCAAATCCTTTTATGAAAGACGACTTATGTTACTTTGAACTTTTTAAATTCCAAAAATTCTTGCTAGTCTTTGTAAAGTATTTAAGTTGCAGTACAAAATACTAAAGTTTCAATATTTAGGTAGAAGGAATTAATCTTTATGTGCAGAATAATTTGCTTTTGAAAGGGGAATAGTACTTATTTTATCTCACAAATATAGATTTTCAGTTAAAATCAAAGTCGAGTGATGATCGAATCTTACCAACTGTTAATGCTGCAGGGGTTTTGACCCAAGAGGAAATTCCTTTTTTGGGGCGGAGAGATTTCATAGTTTCAGCGGGGAAATACGGTTAGCCTTTTATTCCCCTGTTAAGTATTTAGTTTAAGTTTATGAATATAAAAAGAATTACTTTTATTCAAGTTTTGTTATTTATCAATATTTTGTATACTTTTTATTGCTTAATTCACAAAACACATTAAAAAAATAATCCAAATTTAAATAAATATACATACATTTTTCAAGTTTTTGGAAGGAAGGGAGGGAGGAATGCTTGTTTAGCAATGGGAAGGGGTACATGGGAAAAAAGATCGAGAACCGCTATAATACTATATGTAATATTCAGATTACAATTTGCATACATCCTTTGACTAGATACATTTGATATTTCTATTTTAGCTGTTGGGTAGTTGCAAGCCAACCCCCTTTCTGGCCTACAGTTATTCCCGTCGGAATCTGCGTTGCTGTGCAAGTTCTGTTGTTAATCATCGTTCTGACTGTATCAGATGTGCCTTTATCCGTCCCTCAGAGCCAATACAAAAGAGCTAAGTAAGAATATTGCATTTTTAGACACATACTATGTTAAATCTCTTTTGAAAAATGTTCAAGTTTCCAGCGTAATCTGTTATGAACGCCGATCAACTATATTTTACAGAATAAAGAAATTCTCTAGAAGCAAGATGTTGTCTACGAATAGAGCCACAGTCGCGTAATGCGCTTCTCTCCGCGATAAAGTTTCAAAAGACAGCTTTATCGAAAAATTTAATTAATGTATTTAAAAATATAACATGTGAATATCAATGCAATGAAACTCTTACTCTTTAAATAAGAGCATTTGGGGGAAAATATTGCATGCAATAAACATTTTATAAAATGTAAATCGTTAAGTTCTTGGTGTATGCTTATTGCTTTAAAAATAACAATATCAATTAATTTCATTAAATTGGAATAATTATAAAAACTTTCACATTTAATTATTCATTAATTCTGCTCAGATAGCTGAATCCTGAAATATAAGGTAATGAAAAATACTCTTGTATGTACTGTAATATGAACGACATTGAATTACTTCATTTAGCACTATCATTTATTTCTTACTTTCTGACGATCTGTCTTTTTCGCCAGTTTATGAGACCATACATATCGTGAGATTTTTCTTTACATAACATCATATTCACATTAGTTGTGAAAAGCATACATTGTGTTGCTCTAAACTTTTAATACTTTGAGAAGTTATTGTTGATACCAGTGGTTGACACCTGAACTGAACTGAAGGACAAAGCATCTGAACTTTTGCATGACTACTTACTTACTAAAGACTACTTACTAATCTTTACATAAAATACACTTATTAATTTCAGTTAATAAACGATTCAAAGTTCTATGGATAATAGTGACCTCTTAAATCCGCGTCTGATTACGATTTATTTATTTGTTTGTTAATTGTTTGGTTCCGGTCAAATTTTGAATTTAATTTTTTAACTTTCCTATCAATCCGAGTTTCTTGAAATCCTGAAATTGTATTTCCGACAGCAATATAATATTTCACAAAAGTTTTTTGAAATTCGGTGTATATAATTTTTTTAGAGTTGAGTTTTTCTTGCATATCTTTGTTTAATAGATTAATCATCTCTATTCTTTGAACTTTACATCGTCGAATAGATCGAAAATTTATCTTTCAAATGAAAATATTTTTGTAAGTTCTAACGTAAATTACGAAATTTTGGACAAATTAAAAAAAAAAAAAAAAAAAAAAGATAACTTTCGGTTTTTACTTGTAATTTTGATAATAACGATGGCTTCCTTGTTAGCATTATAGTAGCTCGAAATTAGTTCGACCTCGGCTGACGAGCTGGCTGTATGGTTGGTTTCGTGGTTTTTCCTATGCGTAACCTGAATATAAGTCAGTTTCGCGTAAGTCCCTTCCCGAAGACATGCCTTCGCTCAGGTAGATTGACTTCGTAAGCTTTGCCATATTCAAATAATCTTACAAGTTATGTTATTATTACAGAACTGTTATGTTTTTATGCATTTTACATTATGCGATAGCATGCGTCAAACAATTTTCTACAGAGATTTACGGCAACTTCAGTGCCGTAGAAAAGGGACAAGACCCGGAACAAATTATTTTGCAGCACAGTTCTTTTAAAAGCCCGCTTCGCTCTTTTCTGTTTAAATGAAATCTTAAGAAACTTGACTCGCGAAGAAGGTTTTTTTTTTTTTTTTTTTTTTTTTTTTTTTAATACATAAAGTTTACAAGTTCAAATAACTTACAAGTAAAAGCACTAAATTATCAAGATGTGAGTCATACAAATGCTGCATGTCTTGTAATACTGCAGCAATTACAATAAAAATATTCATTTATTAATGCACCATCAACACCATTGTTCAGAATATGGTATTTATGTATGGTAAAAATACGAAAAACAATGCTTACCGATAACAACTATCCCTGCATTTAGAAAATAAATATAAAAATTAATTCTTAACCTAAAACATGCCTTCTTAAATATGTTGTAGGTAAAGTTTTATTAATATTTTTCTTATCAATATGTTTGCTGATAAATTTTAATTTATTTGTTTGAGAAAAATATACATTAAATAAAAGTAATGAAAAATAATTTATGCTAGACCAAATTCATAATATCCTTCTAAAATGGGAAAAGAAATTAAATAAATTCTCTCATAGCATAAATTTCTCATAGACGACCATCTCTAAAAAATAGACAGTATTTCTGAGAACATACATAAATATCTGTATCAATAATTTTGAAAGCTTGCCTTGCTTGCCTCTTTTGGAGAATAATACCTCCAGGAGGAGTTTAACATAATTATTTTGTAAGAAAAATCTGAGTGGACACCACATAACTTCCTTGTACGGCCTATTAAATTATACATATTTTTGCTTCATTTCATTTAAACTTATTCCCTCAAATTTCATTAGAGATATATTTCTCATTCTCTTGATTCAGTTCTCATTTCACGGCAAGGAAAAAAAAAAAAAAAAAAAAAACACAAACCTCAAAACACCTTCATTAAAGATTGTAAAATATTGAAAAACATAAAACACCAAATACAGTTAAAACTAATAAAAAATTTACAATTAAAATTAGATTTTCTAAGCAACAACTCGCGGGCAAGGAGGCAGACTTTTCAGTGCACAAAACTGAAAGTTTACTTTTGGTCCCACTCGGTGAAAAGACACTGAAGGTGCAGATATTGAACGTAACTCACAATTTTCCTAAGTTTCAAATGTAAACAAATAGCTCCTCCTTTAGGCTTAATTGCAATAAAACGCTATTTACATTGTTGATAATTACAATTATGCATGCATTTTAAAGGCTAAAAACTTACCGGACATAAGAACAACATATTCAATGCCTTTTAAAGCAAAAAATCACTTTCAACTATAAGCATAAAAAACTGAGGTTACCGCGCCGAGTACTTACCCGAGGACCGGCTCTTCTTCAACTGCGCCTCACTACATCAGCTGATCTGTCTCCATAGCAACCATTCATGCTCTTCGCGTCCCGATTGCTCTCTCTTTGTACCTGAGTTACCTGAAGTTGATTCACTAAGGGGGCCTAAACGCCTTTCAATTATGATAAACTCTTGTACTGTCCGCCTGTGTCCTAACAATGAGGACCCTAAGCGACTTTTGACTTTAGCATAACTGCTCTTTCCTTTCTTATTCTTTATAAACGAGAGTGGAGGTAATTCAATAATTGCAAAGGATCCATAATACAAAGTCTTGGTCCCTGGTCCGAGCCGAGTAACAGAGTGGATATATATATATATATATACTTTTGGCACAGCCGATTGCAACCAAAAAGAGAGGTGCACAAGCACATGTTATAGCAGTTCCATATACAAAATTTCCACATTCTAAGCCTACTAGTTTTTGATTTATGCGAATTGCATAAATACGTACTTACGTGTATGCGTACGGATGTCACGAAAAAAAAAGAATCTCTTCGGAATCCATTTTTTAATTCGTTTTGGAGAAAAGAGACTTTTATTCTGTCTGTTCATACAGATGTCACACAAAAACATCACTCAGATGAATTCGAGAGCGGTCAAAATGGATACTTTCGTTGAAATATGATGCCCGAAATTTTTCGCGAGTACAATACTTCGTACATGGAAGTAAAACGCATGGTTAGAGAAAGAGCAGGTTGTCCAGGGGTCACTAAATCCCTTTGTTCTTTTAATTTATTTATATCAAAAATATTTTTACATATTATATTTAAATATTCCCCTGATTTCTATTAAATGGAGAAAAATTAAATAAATTTAAAAGTAAATTTTTAATGCTGCATTAATTTTTGTAAAAATGTCTTACCTCGTAAGAACTCTTCACTCAAACCACATTAAATTTCTCTTTTCGTTCTGTTGTGTGTAGCATTAGATTACTAAGCCACCGTCAGATGGCGACACGAGTTAGAGTTAAATTGAAAGTGCTTACGAAAAAAGTGAAAATAGCATTAAATCTCGCGTTTATGTAAAACGTATTTTCTGGATGATTGGAAAACTTTATTATAAATCAATGAAAAATTGTAATCACAGTTATGGATCATTGTACATCACTGTTCATCATTGGAGAACTTCGTCACCAACATTAAAAGACTTCGTTAAAATGAGAAACAACGATTTTTTCTTCTCAAAGAGCATTCTTCCCATTTCTTTCTCTGAATCATGAACCATGGGTGTTACTATGTATTAAGTGTTTTGAACAGAATAAAAATTTGGGTTGCGCTCAATGACTGATGATTGTTTGAATGACTATATGTATGTTGAGTGTACATGGAAAGCTAGTTTAAGTAATTAATATCGAAAAGACCGTTGTAAAGGAATTTGAGGAAAACTGACTTTGAGTGGGTATTAAAAATAATGCACGTAATTTTCTTTCAAATTATATTTATACATATTTCTTATGTAAAAATTTCTGGTATATGCTAAATTATTGTAAATTACTTTACTCAAAAAAGATAGTGAATACACAGCCATTAAAGATTTGATGCTTGCGGCTTTAACGCCTTTGGAATCAATGGAATAAATATGTAAATTATACTATTACTACCTTATAATATTACTTGATGTACGTTTACTATTTTATTTTTCATCAGCTTCAAGAAATATAAATAGTATTAACAAAAAAAGTTAATTTTATAAAATAATTAAACGATGAAAAAATATAAAATACTTGAAATAAAAAAAATTTTCTTACAATAACTGGGCCAATACAAATTTCATTCCAAAACCGCCTGCGGAAAGTTAAACAAAGCTAGTAATTAAATATATTAAATTTACAATGATTAAATATTATTAAATATATAATAAATACATTTAAATTCTTTGACAATACATTTGTAGAATATTTAAGTAAGAATTATTCTACTGGAAAGCAATTGAAAGGTATTGTAAAGACAATTATGAGATGCATATTAAAGAAGTAGTAAAGAAGAGTTTTTAGAATATTATGTTGAAATTACGGGTAAAAAACCTGATAAGATAAAAGATTATGCCTACATTTTATAATAACTCAGTTACACG